CACAGATTGTTTATGTAGATTTTTGAGGGCTTAAAATGTACGTCTAAAGTAAACTGTTGTCTGGGCGTAATTAATGTTTGTAGCATGTTTCTGTAGGAGATGAAATGAAGACTGTACCCTTCAAAGAAGGTTATTTTTAGAGATGCACTGATACTTTTCCTACCTATACTGATAGCTGATTCTTAAGTACTGGCCGATACTGAGTACCAATACCCTATACTAACTCGACTGATATCTGACCTGACTCACATAGTCCTCATATTTATACAATTACATTTTAAAAAATAAAATATTTAATTTTGGTAAAATCTGTTCCGTCACAAATAAAACACACTCAGATGGCATTTACTTGTTGGATTATATTTATTAGAAATGTATTTTTGTTTATTTACTGTGTATATTTAGTATTTACTTTCATATAATTAGTAATAAGAACTATGTTTAACAGCTTAAGTAAGTGTAAAGTATCTTTATTGTGGAAAACAGTTAAAAACAGAGCTGAACAGTGTTCAGATAAACCTGTGGTGTTTACACATCAGCACAGCAGCTTCTCTGGATCAGAAACTGAGCCGAATGTTGTTTCACATCCGAATTTCTCGAGTCGTTTAATACGTGCGTCTCGTTCACTCGCGCTGTGTCTCAGACTCTGCTGAAGAAATGGCTTCGTGGTGTCGGTCACAGGTATCGGTGTCCTCATCGTTTATGTGCTGATATTGGCGCTGATGCAGGTTCAGTATCAGTGCAACACTTGATATTTTCTAAACTGTTAAAAACGTTAAACCTGTGAAGTTCTAATAAAGCGTGTCTCTACAGGCAAACCCAGAACTGGCGGCTATTTGGGCTGTAGGGCAGCGAATTTGGCAGCGGGACTTCCCAGGAATCTACAGCGCGATTGCTGCCTACCAGTGGTCTGAAACCATTCTCCCTGTAATGGAGTCTCTAAGAGGTACGGCACAGCACGGGGGTGTTTGGTTGCGTGTGATTGGTGGAGCTTACAAAGGTAGTTCAGGAGCTGGATTTTATTAGGTAAAGTTTTTTTTGTGTTGGTTCAAATTTCCTGTTAGTTTGTTCAGGTTTCCTGTATGTTTCATTTCTGTGTAGCTCTGTTTATATTATCTCTGCCTGATATGTTTACACTGTGCCAGGTTGGGGGGCATACCAGACAGTGTAGCCCAGGGGCTCATGACCAAGTTAATCCACCCCGACTGCAACCCAATTAAAAAAAAACAGGCCTGCAGTGTAATAGTTGCTCACTCAAGTTCACACCCAGCTAGTATAACCATGTTTTGATGAGAGGCTGGGAAAACGGGAAACAGTGAATTTCCCGAATGCTGTTCTGATTGGGTAAATATTTATAAATATGTTTCCATCCTGCCATTTGCTTTAAGAAGCATTTCAACATTTTTGGTCCTGCCTGATCATCTTCAGTGCTGTAACTGATTGAATAACAATAAAAACATAAAGAACATAAATATGTTAATATTCAGTTGAGATCTTTTGATTATTTATTTGCAGCTTTCATCGTGATGTTGAACATGTTATGTTTGTGTTTGTCCCTTGAAATTGCTGTTCACTCTGTAATAATGGGGTCACCACGTGTTAGGACACCTAATCTTTGACATCAGTGACATCGAGACCACCGCAGTGTTTTCCTTTAATAGAGTGGATCATAACCGCTGTGTGCTCAGTGTAGATCTACTGTTATGTTTCCTCACAGGCATCTTATTACAGTTGTAGCTGGATATGGTGAAACCTAACCCTGTAGTGGTAGAATATTGTTACTTAATACAATTTTAAAATATTAAAATATGTTTTAGGTCAACAATTCAACTTTTTGCTAATGGAGGGTCAAACGTGTTCATAAATTGCTAAATTTAGACAGAAACGTCCACCCTGACCCTGAGACGGCACACACTGAAAACAAGTACTGTATTTTTACAGCAAATATCTACAGTAAGATACTGTTAAACTGGATTGATATGTTACTGTAGTTTGCTATGAATTCTGGGAGCTGGTGTGAATTTGTAACAATTGTATAGTTTACAGTAAATTCCTGGAAAAATATCCCAGAATGACCAGGAACTTATGAATTGCAGTCATTTGACATTTTTTGCGTTTTGTTTTCAAATTAAATTAATTTAATTGAATGAAATCTTCCTTCAAATGTTATTCAAGACAAGTGTTTCTGTCAAAGTGCACTAAGTCACGACTTTGTTCCCCCCGTCGTCTTCATGTTTTAGCAAAATAAACATTTACTAAAAAGTACTAAGAGTAGCACTGACTACCGACACTTTGTGCCTGTGGAGGAGCTAATTTAGCAGCATATGTACTAATAACTTGCATGCAAATGAACACAAACACACCTTTGTAATTATCATCTAAGCAGTGCAACATAAACACGTGTTTGACTTGCATGCTTTTGTATGGAAGCTTGTTTTCATCAGGTATGAGGAAAATGCAGCGTCACAAACCGCATATTACAGCACTGAATAGTGTGTAACAAATAATGCATCACCTTTAGAAGCACATTCACTAGTGTCAAGTTTAGAAGTGTGTGGTTTGGGACACAGCCAAAACGGGTGTTTTCCTCTGATTTTTGGATCAGATTGAAATTTGAAGATTGAAAATTTGTTATTTCAGTCAAATTTTGAATGAAATTCTCTTGAGAATTTGCTTTAGTAGGTTAATATAGATAACTAATAAATAACTACAAGTGCGTTATTTATCTTTGAGAAAGTTTGTGATTATTTTAACATAATGTTATTCGATAAGCTCTGATGTTAACATGAACAATAAGAGGTTGAGACAATAGGTAATTATTTGACTTTGTGTTTTGAAACATTCCTTTTTGGGCTGGGAGACGAGCTGAACTTGAGTTGTGTGCCAGGTGCACTTAGAATTAGTGATATTGTGAAATGTCTTTATTCTGCGTTCATTAAATTAGTGATGTAACGTGGCGGGTATTACAGTGTCTTTTTCATCGAAGTTGAAAATACATAAATGTGTGAAACTCGCTCTTTTTCCTCTCAACAACAGCGTCAGCCACGTTGGTGCTAAAAATAAGCTTTTCTCAGGCGTTAAGTAATGCAGTCAGTCTCCTTCCTGTGTTCAGCGCTTTGACAGGGAAACTCATAAACGCATATGCAGTGAGGAAAAACTGCAGAAGTTGTGATGGCCACTTTTTAACAGCAAAACAAAGTTTGTGACAGTGCAAAATTTTAGTAAATCTGCCCCAAATTGTGTTAAAAAATTGTGTAAAATTTTTGATCAAATATTTTTGCTGTCGGATTTCATTTAGAGAGTGTAGCTTTTAGTGTAGCTGGTGTGGGTTTGGTTAATAAGACGTCTATTTTATGGTAGATTTCTTAATTTTGATATTAATTAGAAAAATACTGTCGATAACGGGACTCAACATTTCTCTCAATGTCGCTCGTATCTCCACAGTGCAACAGAAATATCCTCAATGTGTTCTGAATTTGTCTATAATGGGGTGGACACACTATGTTGTGGTTGATTCACACATTTCCTACTTGCATTTACAGAATTAAGTGTTTTAGTTTGAGAAAATGTTTTTTGAGTGGACTACAGTCTAATTAGTATAATCACCTTTCAAAAAAATAAAAATTTAGTTGTTTTTTATGAGGCATGACTTACTAATAATGACCTAGCGCGGTACTGAGCCTTGCATACATCTTTGAAATTGAAATGGAATAATATTGTGGCTCAAGTTTTATTAAATATATCATAGAATATTAAACTCACTATAAATTTAGATTAGTTCAGGCTTGCCTTCCTAGGATTAATCAGTCTGATCAGCCTGGTTCCTCGCTTGTTTGATCGGCAGACTGAGCACCGTTATGCCACATTATATAATATTAAACGGTCATCAATGAGATTCTCCCAGCATGCAATGTTCCCACTAAAAGAGTCTTCAGCCAAGGAGGCCTCATTACCCACCAGGCTGACATTCTTGACAGGCTTGTTCTGGTGGTTTATTGGTTACAGACAAGAATATTTTAACACTTTAAAAAGTGCGAGAGGCTAAAGAGAGATTCTGGTAGGAAGAGTGTTCGTGGCACTTTGTGATAAAATGAAGAAAGGAAGCCGTTGGAGCACAGCCTTATCTGTATTTCAGTGGTGATATTTATTTTATTTATTTATTTATTTATTTTTTTACTCTTTTTCAAAGCTTGTACTTTTGGATAATTGTAAATACGCTCTTGTACCCACCTTCCCACTCCCTCTTGAAGATTCTGATAGCATCAGCATTCTACAGGGAAAGGAAGAGCTCAAAATGGTTTATAAAACTGATAAGCAGTTTTGTTTGTATAGAGCTTTTAGGATCGGCAGTCAGCCATGTATATGTAGTTGATGCCAAAACTGGCTTAGCGATTCACAACAGCAGGGGGCTCCACTGTCACAGTGTTAAAGTAAAGGCTACTTAAACTGTGTTTTCATTTTTAGAGGCAGAATTTCTGTAGTTCAGAGGTTGGAGTTGATCTTTTCTGTGGCAGTTTTGTATTGAAATGTGATTGGTCACGTTTTGATCATTGATCAAAGCATTTTCATTTTGAAAAACATCAGAGTAAGCTTGGGTTTCAGAATCATCTCAACATCTGGCACTTCAGTTATTTTATGGCAGAAGATTGAAAGGACACTAGCTTTGACAGTCAGTTTAAAGGTCTGCCTGATGAGTATGTTTCTTACTTATAAAACAAACCGTAATTTTACTTTTAGGCAACAAACGTGCAGGGCAGGGAAAATAAATAAATAAATAAATAAATAAATAGAAAGTGTTGCTTACAGCTCAGGGAAGGTATACTAGCAGTATAGCAGAATTCTATGCGGTTATTATTGTTAATACATAGAAGGCGACTGTCAACAGTGTGACTTTTAAGGAGGAAAATGCACTTATGAATATGGCGTGTTTTTTTTTTTTTAATAAATGTAATTTTTATTATCGCCTTTTGCACATTTCAGAATGTACTGGCTTCCAAATGCCATTTCAGCGAGAGCCACATTTGACCCCCGTGCCTGCACCTGACCCACCCAGATCAAGGAAAGAGGTTAAATATAGTCCTTCCTTCATGTAGCAGAGCTGGGACACAAACAAGTTACTTGATAGTACAAGCATGATCAAAGCCTTGATCAGATTGACCAAGTGGCACCTTGTGTGAATGGTATATAAGTGTATTATTTAATTCTGCTTGATTTAGAGGACTATAATGTCATTCAGCTTTCTTAACTTGTACCTAACGGACAGTCAAAGATATGGTTCATCTAGAGCAATACTGTCAACAAAGTATGAGTAGTAGCACTCCTTGAAACCTACAGAGAGAATCAGCATTTACTCAGTATTATCTGGTTAATTTTCCTGTTAAATGTAAAGTGGGTGAATCATGTGGATGAGAGCAGTGGAAGGTAAACAGTAAATAAATAGCATTATGACAGACCTGTGTCTCTTACTCAACACACAGGCCTTGTTTATCACGGCTCAGATATTTCCTCATTGAGATTGTGTCACTGGGAATGGTGAAGAGCATGATGTGACAAATGGAACCCAGTGGAAGGTTGGGGGTGTTGCTTCTCCGAAAACAGACTTGAAAACAAGCTAAGAAGAATGTGTGCCCTGATTGGCTGGGGGGGGATTGAGTGTCACCAGCTGCAAGGGGATTGTATAAAACCCTGGGCCACTGTGCACCGAGCAGAACTGACAGCTGAAAGGACGCATGTACACAGTAGTGCCACTGCTACGACGGTCACTGAAGGCAGGGGAAGAAACTGTACTTTACCAGAGCGGTCACAGAAATGGATATCCAAAGGACCGGCTCCCTGGCTGTTTCTCCAGACACAATGGCGAGTCTGGAGAAACAGCTTAGCTGTCCAATCTGTCTAGATATGTTCACCAAGCCTGTGGTGATCCTTCCCTGTCAACATAACCTGTGCCGTGGATGTGCTAGCGACCTTTACGACTCTCGAAATCCGTACCGATTTTCTGGTGGTGTTTTCAGGTGCCCCACTTGCCGGTTCGAGGTGGTTCTCGATCGCCATGGTGTACACGGACTTCAGAGAAACCTTCTGGTGGAGAACATTATCGATATATACAAACAGCAGCAAGAAGGTGGTGGTGGAACCTCAGAGCCTCCTTTAAAGCCTAAGACCTCTGAACCAATGTGTGAGGAACATGAGGATGAGAAGATTAACATCTACTGTGTGACCCACCAGGTTCCCACCTGCTCAATGTGCAAAGTGTTCGGTCAGCACAAGGACTGTGAAGTATCACCTCTTGCTAGCGTTTACCAGGCCCAGAAAGGTGAGCTAAGTAATGCCATCGATGCCTTGGTTGCAGGCAACGGACGGCTGCAGGCCCTGCTGAATCAGATGGAGGAGGCCTGCAAAGCTGTTCAGGACAATGCCCAGCGTGCCAAGCAAAGGCTGGGCGAGCGCTTCGATTCGCTCTACGCAGCGCTGGAGGAACGAAAGGGCGCCCTCTTGGAGCGTATTAGCAAAGAGCAGGACGAGAAGGTAGCAGCCTTGCGGCGGCTGGCCAGGCGTTACGGAGACCGTCTTCAGGTGGGCACGGAGCTCACTGATACCGCAGTGCGTGCCCTTGAACAGAGCAGTGCCGCTGAGTTTCTGCAGTCCTCTAAGGGCCTCATCGCACAGACAAAGGATGCAGCCAAGAGTTCGCTGGCCGAGGAAAGACCCGAGCCTGGTTTTGAGAGAATGGACCATTTTACCCTGTCCACAGAACACGCAGAGACACTGTTGTCCAAAATGGACTTCGGAGCAGACGATGATGAAGAATACGAAGATGCAGAGGAGGAAGAAGAGGAGTGAACTGGACCTGTGCGGTAGTTAGTGAGTTAGCGCCTTACAGGGTCTGAAGGGGGAATGTTGGAGATCAAGAACTCTGAATAAGGACGAATAATGGACATTTTCTGAGGGGTTTTATGATGTGTTGCTGCTAAGCAGTATGAATGCTGAAAGTTACACCCCACATGGTGCAGAGGCTAATCAGAATGTGTATCGGTGCCATTTTTATACTTTTGTATTTTTTAGCTTGTTTGTGGCTTTTTAGGTGATTAATATATTTTGACTGTTTGCTCTGTATGTTCAGTTCTTTGCACAAATAAATGGAACACATGGCCGTCCAGAGTATGTGGTCATACTGTTATTCCTGGACTTCAATATGAAGTCGCTGCTGTACGCTGACGTAGAGTGTCCATTACTCTTTTTACTTTTGTCACCATTTGTTATACTTTTCGATACTGAATTCTGTTATCTAGGATTTAATACACGCCCGGATGTATTTTGTCTGTTAAAGAAATGTGATCTTTTGATTTAGCTACTAAACAAAGTACAAAACTTTCTGTGCTCTGTCTTCAAAAGCATGGCCGTCTGTTTCAGCTTGCCTTTCACAAGCAAGGAAGCAGGCTATTTTTACAGCGCAGGAGTGTGAGATATGATCGAAGAGACCTTGGAACAGTATGCCGGCCTAGGACAGACAGAAAAAGCTGTTTATGGGCCTTACCCCCCCTCCTTTCTCTGCTGCCTTGCTCAGCAACTCTTGTTGCTTGCTAAAGAGGGGACAGTGTGCAGCCAGGCTTTTAGTCATGTTTGGCCAACACACGATCTCTCTGCCTGAATGTTGCTAAAATAATCACCAGGCAACGTGTTTAAAAACTCCCATTAGACTGACCTTGTTACTGCCAAAACTTTCTATTAGAGAAGTCCACTGTTATAGTGAGCCAGAAACACCAACGGAAGGAAGGAAAGTTGTATGTCACCCATATGAAGCTGAAGTTTGAGACATACAGTAGTTAACACATCATGGAGCCTGAAGGGGAAGTGAAGGGCATGGAGAAAACTGAAGGAACAAGGGCAAACAGTCGTGGGCCGGCACATGTGTTGGGGCCATTTTTATGTTTTCTCTTCAGGTAATCATGTTTAAAAACTCTCCTGTCCTGATTTTGGCCAAAGTGTTCTTACAATACAATGACTATCGCCAAAATACCAGCGAGCAAGAAAGTGGGATTTGATAAGTTATCAGCCGGATGTATGTGCAGACTAGATGTTTTATCACTTCAGTCATCATTCAGCAGTTGTTGTGTCTTTGTTAAAAAGGGCTGATATCTTAGTATTATTCAGATAAATTCTCCATTCGTTATGCCGTGCTGATGTGGCAGCACCACCAATATATGTCTACAATGCCAGGATAGGTTAGTTCAGTCAAAGACAGACATTTTGCTTTCCTCTTCTGTTCTTTCCCCCCTAGCGATGATCCCATTCCCAACGCTCTTAATATCGCTTCTAAGGAAATGTTAGTAAACAAGCTGTGTTGCCATGTTTTAAAATGCTGGGTGCTAAAACAAATGGTACCGGCTGTTGGCAGTGAATCATGCTAAGATCTACCATCCTGGGAGCCAACAATTAAACTAAACACACTTGTGTCACCTTTAGGTCTTTGTTTGACGTGAGCTGAGCTCTAGTTTAAAGTTACAGGGTGAGTGTACCTTTTGTGAGCTGTCCATGTATTTTAAGAACAGTTTTAAATTAGCGCTGAGGGATGTTGGGCTGAACGTTGAGCATATTGAATACAGCAGTCATACACTTGGCAGGCGTTAGAGAGGCTAAACATGTCAGCATTTGCTAAAATTACTGTTTAGTCTTTGAGGAAAAATACCCAATATGTGCTGCATCTGTGGGTTATAAAACCTGTCATCTGCATACGCTTAATTACCCTTCACAGTAATTTTATATTGCCGTAATGTATTTACTCGTGTTCATCTTTCAGCTTTTCATCTTATTCCTTTCATCACAAGATGAATTACAAGGATACCCTGAACCCCCCCATTTCTCATGGAGAGACCCATTTTATCCATTAATTTCCCTTCAAGACCACCATTCAGTAGAATGCAAATAGCTCTATTCTTCAGGGTTTTTTTGTTTTGTTTAAATACCTTTTGGAAGCACCAAAAGTCCTTTACATTCTGAGGGCGGATATTTTGTTGTGGCAGCAGCAACATTTCTAATCTGCTTCTGTTAAGTGTCTTCGTTGCTCAGCGAGTGGAGTGTTTATACTACTTGTCAGAACATTTTAAAGCAGCCTGCTTCTTTTCACATCTTTGCTTTCCTTCCTTTTTCCTAGAGTCCACACGCAGGAGGGCGTATGGCCTCGTAGCCCAAGCTTACACCTCAATCAGTGCAGAGGATTTCGCCTCTTTTGTTGGGTACTCAGTTGAAGAGGCTGTGAAGGGTAAGATATTTGCATAAAAGTGCTCACAGGTCAATCATGAGGACCCATCCCGGATGATAGGGCTGCACAATGCATCGTTTGTTATCACAGTATTGGCCTCTATTGTACTGATATTATAGAAGGCTGCAATATGCAGATGAGCCATCAATCACAATGTTTTGTTGCCCGACTATGAACAATCCTGACCAACCAGAGAGGAGTGTTCTATATGTTTTTTAATAAATCAAGGCAGTCATGATCCAACAGATAATTTGAATCCTATTAATGCAGGTCAGTCCTTCATCATGTCAGATCAAGGATTCACCAAAGTGTTTTAATATTAAGGTAAACAGCCGTTGTAACGTATCAGTATAACAGTATATTTTGTCCGTGATGTGTTGCTGTGTTAAATGCAGAGCATCAGAATTTCATTTACTTTCATTTTCCCCCCTTTTTCAAACTTGCACTGTCGCCAAGCCTCTCACTGTCTGCTTATGCTATATGTGGTATAAGATGCTTATAAGATGAAGTTTCTGTTCTCGTCAAGTTCAAAGTGCTCTTCCTACTTAAAAACAACAAACCAAAATAGGCTATAATAGAGTGGATCCAGATTCTTGGATTTTTGTCTTTGTTTTGTTCTGTCTCATTCCCATCCTGGTAGACACACCACCAACCCCACATTCCTCTCTTTTCTTTTTTCCTCTAGTTTGCTGTGCTTAATTATGTTTGTCTCTCCTTTCCTTCACACTCTTAATTCTTGTACTTGACATACAGCAGGAGCTGAGGCCCAGTCCCACTCCTTATTTTGACCCCCTTGTTTTCGAGTGTTGCCCCTTGTAACTGAGTTCCAGGGTAGTGGTTGAAATCCTCCCTCTGAAATGGGACCCTCAAATAAAAAGAGCATCACTTCATTAACAGCTACCAGCGCTGCTCTGTAGGCGACCCTGCCAGTCTGCAGTGACAGCAGAGGAGGGTAAAGTTCAGCTCCTCACTGCTGGGCTTTAGTTACATTTAGGGCATCATATGATCTTCAAAGAGGGGGGCAATTATTTATTATCACCCACCACTAATTCTTCAGTGATATGAAGCTGAAATCAGAGATTCACCAGATTCTCGTTCAAATTTAGCTACTGAGACGTCAGCACTGCTAGTGATTTTTTATGCTTGTTATGAAGAAAAGAACCATAATGCACTGAAATTACATTAAACTAAGAGGATATGATGGTTATTATCATTTTTAACTGAGAAAATTCTCACATTTGTGGGTTTCTTTGGTCTCTTGTTCTCCATCTCGCCGGTTTTCCTTATTTCCTCATAACTCTCTGTTTGGAGTCTCTGAAAAACCTCTGTTTGGAGGGTCATGTAGCCCCAACACTTCGCCCCACCCCTCTATCTCAAGAATCAGGACACCCCACCCCTAGGAGTGAACGTGCAGAATGGAGGGAGTGGTAGGGGTGAGGGGTGAAATGGGATTGGGGTCAAAGGCTGCATGATATGGAAATGGGAGCACTGTGACACATTTCTACCCTGCAGTATTTTCTGTGGGTCAGTTTCCCAGAAATGGATTAAACCTACTAGACTCAGTTTTAGTAGCAACAGAGAATCACCATTGGAAACACTTTTTAGTCCCGGTACAGACGTGATCTGGTTTTCCCCTAGATGTTAAAACATCACTGCAGGGGTTTGATTTCATTTATCCTGGAGCATCAGTGATGTCAGGTAACTGTGCTGGAAGATTAGATGTGGATCACAAACACTACTCAAAGTCATCTCCGAGGTGTTTAGTTGTGCTTTATTACTCCAAAATTTAATTCTTTCTCTGATGCTGGGGAGCTTTGTAACCTTCTGACTGACGCTTGCTGCTGTGCTTGTGGTCTCAGTTTTGTATTTGGCTGCTCCAACACGTCCCATTCTGCCACCTCCTACAGAGGTTACATGACTGTTCACATTTTAGCACCAGTGTAGCTCAGTCCACTAAGTAGAATGTGCATCTGGATAAAGTGCGTTGATGAATCAGTAATTTGGCCTGGTTAATCTGCAGCTGTGATTGATCAGGATGCTCATAGTACACGTTAAATAAATTGAGAGGTCAGAGGGCTCGTTCACAAAGGCCAACATGACGAGAATGATTAACAGAATGCATTGTGCAGCCTTTGTTCAAAATGTGTCTTTCTACCATAAATTTCAGAGAATGTTTAAATACTCTACAATATATTGTTTATGGTTGATGGTTTCATGCTTTGCACAAACGTTCTTACTCCTCAGAAGTTCTGCCATGTAAGAAACCAATTCCACTCTTTTAGGTGTGGTCAGTCACGGGTGGCAGGCGGATCCCAACACGCGGATGATAATGCCGCAGAAACCAGGTGGGGGCACTGTTTCTTTTCATGTGTGAAGGGGGAAAAAATCCCCCCTCCTCCCCCAGGCCTTCCTGTCTGACTCATTCCTCTATAATGTTCCAGTCACACACTCTCCCCTCCCATTGTAGAAAACCAAGCTGTGTTTTCTCCATGGTTTTCATAACACTCACGTGGAAATGCATGAAGTACACCCCCCCCGCCCACCTCCTCTCACCCCTCCCTCCCTCCGCTACTCACCCCTGCCTTCCCTGGCCCTGCTTTCTTTTCTTGGCCCTCATTTCTTTTTGTTTTTTTGGGTTTTGTTCATGCAGACTTCAGACTGGTTTTAATTATGTCCTTTTCTCTCTCTCTCTCTCTCTCTCTCTCTCTCTCTCTCTCTCTCTCTCTCTCTCTCTCTCTCTCTCTACCCCCACCCCCTTGTCTTCTGCCTTTCCTCTTTCCTCTCTCTCTTCTCTCCAGATCCACCCCCAGTCTCTTTGGTTCCAAACGAACAGCAGCTGGCTAGACTCACTGACTACGTGGCTTTTCTTGAAAACTGATAAATCCCACTCTCTCCCTATTCTCTCATACTCTCAACTAGTCAATCGTATGGAGGACAGAAGTACGTTCATCCTGTTCTTGGCCGAGATGTTTGCTCTAAAGCAGCCCCATCCAGGCTGAAGATGGGATCTCCTCACTCCTCTGCGTATGCATTGTTTTTTGAAGCTTAGATTAAAAGAAAACATCCTTACCCCACAGTTCCCATAGAAGGCTGAAATATGCAGTGAGCCTTTTAATAACAGTTTGTGCATCTTGACCATCATTAGATGTTCCACGTAAGTTTCTTGTGGGTATTTTGATGAATCAAGTAATTTGTGGGATCCAATAAATGTAAATATTTTGGTCAAAGTAATGCTACCCAATCTGCAGTCTTGTTGCATTTTTGTTTCATCAGGGTGTTTTAATATGTTGTGACGCACACTGCAGACGCAGTTTGGTATTCTGACCATATCATGTAGCCCTTGACCCACCGCCCTTGGGGATTAGATCTCAGAACTCCAGCTACAAGTGCTGACAGTTCAGCTGTCCATAATCTGTGTGCTTTCATAGTTACTGTTGTGAGGTTGGACAAGATTCACAGAATGTTGGCAAAAATCTGAATCTTAAGGAAACTGATCATGAGAAAGTGTGATGCACAACTCTAATGAACATCTACATTTTGAGTAAGTTATTAATTTTAATTGATTATTTTGTGTGCAAGATCACACTGTTATACTGCATTGAGTGTGTTTTAAATCATACAGTCAAGGTTTTAAGGATAAACATCTGTGATAGCCTAAGCAGAAGGTTCACCAGCTTCAGCTGTTTATATGTTGCTAGCAAGCTAAGTTCAGGCTGTAGACGACACCTCTAGCTACTGTAGTATGGCTGAAGTGAGGCAGTGGTGCAGCATCTGGGTATGTAGGGTGTACACTGCGCTTCGAGGGGCCTGGGAATCGCCTTGGCTTCTTGTCAGTGCATAATGGCCTGTGGTTCTTCAATGTAGTTCCAAAAGTCCAGGCAAAGTTTATTTTTATAGCACTTTTTACAGCAGGTGTTGTCACAAAGCAGCTTTACAGAAAAATCCGGGTCCGAGCCCCCATGAACGTCGGCAGTGGCGACAGTGGCAAGGAAAATCTCCCTAAGAGCAAGAGGAAGAAACACTGAGAGGAACCAAGACTCAGAAGGGGAACCCATCCTCCTCTGGACCACGCCGGATAGGAAACAGCATTAGTATAAAATATTAGAATACAAAACGGGGAAAAAAGGGGAGCAATGATTAATTAGATTAGTTTTAGTTTATGCAGCAGCAGCAGGAGTGTCAGTTCATGCAGGTGAGGTTTGCACAGCTTTGTACAGCGATAAGCTCCATAGTGGTCAAAATGGTGCAGATCAGCAAACAGAGATGGAGCTCTGGTGGCTCCCATGGGACGATTCAGGCAGACGTCGCTCAGGGGCTCAAATAAAGGGAGAGAGAGATTAACATTTTTATACTGATATTAACAAAATGCTTGTGCAAACAGATCAGTTTTGAGTCTGGTTTTAAGTGTAGAGAGTGTGTCTGAGTCCAGAACAGAGGTCAGGAAATGATTCCTCAATTTTAGGGCTACGTAGGGAAAAAGCTGAACCACCTGCTGTGGTTTTTCTAACTCTAGGAACTGTCAGGCCGTTATTCTGTGAGCGGAGCGTACGTGTGGGTTCATATGACTGAACTAATTCACTAAGATACTGAGGGCCATTTAATGATTTATACGTTAAGAGGTGGATCTTATACTCTACACCAAATTTAACTGGTAGCCAGTGTAATGACCACAGGATTGGGAATATATGGTCAAATTTTCGGTCCTTTAAGGACTCTAGCGGCTGCATTCTGGACCAGTTGGAGCTTATTTAGTAAAGTGTTGGAGAATCCAGCTAAAATGGTGTTACAGTAGTCCAGCCTGGAGATTATAAAGGCATGCACAAGTTTTTCCGTATCGTTTAGGGCTAGAATATTACGTAGTTTAGCGACGTTACGCAAGTGAAAGAATGCGGTTCTAACAATGTTGAAATGTTCGTGTATCAAAAGAGACTGGAATCGAAGATGACGCCTAGATTTTTTTTTACAGTAGTGCTTGGAGTGACTATATGGCCTCTAAATTTAGTTCAAATTTGGAGAGTTGAGAAATCTCTGCTTTGGGTCCAAGTAGTAGAACGTCATTTTGTTAGGATTAAGAAGAAGGAAATTGTTGGTCATCCAGCTTTTGATATTTTGAACACATTTCTTCAAGATTATTTAGATTCAGAGCCTCATTTGGTTTAGCAGATATGTAAAGTTGCGTGTCGTGAAAACTAACACCGAATCTGCGAATTAGGTTACCAAGAGGTGGCAGGTACAGAGAGAAAAGCAGCGGCCCGAGCACTGATCCTTGGGGGACACCATATTGTACTAGCGTGTGATCAGAGTGTTTATTGTTATCTCACGGCAGTTTTTAAATTAAATACTAGCTAAACGTTTTGTGAATGATGCACGTTCTGCTAGGTCTTCAGGCTTGAGGACAGTCAGCATCTCTGCCGTGTTAGGGGACAGTCGGTTCCTTTTCTCATCAATGACGTTTGAGACTGCACTAAAGAGTCTCTCACTGTCCACACTTGTACAGGGGGCACAGAGAAACTTGTTTGCAGTAGCAGCCAGTGAGCGAAATCGTGCAGCATGTGCCTTGCAGTACTGTAGTGGATTGTCTGATCTTGGGATGGTTTGCTCTGCGAGGTAACTCTGCACCTGAACAACTGTTGATGAGGTGCTCACAGACCTCAGGCTCATTCTCTTCTAAGATCTCATCAAAGACACTGCCAAGGCTGCTGCTTGCTGTGTTTTGACGTGGTGCCTTTTTCACAGGCTCTGCCTCTGATACTTCACCGGCGGCCCTCCCTACCTCCATCTTCTCCCCCTCTACAATGAGAGCATCCTTAGCATGCCTCAGGTTGTCTGAATTTGTGAAGTATCTGAAAATAGATAAATGATGTGTACTTCAATAAAAAAAATCTAACCATTAACAGAAAATCTGCATTAAAAAAAAATAGCTAACAAGACAAAAACTGGCTTAAATTGATACTGGTGACTTACATTTGATTCACTATAAAGCAAAATAGACTTTATCATAGTATTTGAACTTGTCTGTCTTTGTATCTGAGATCCACTAAAGTGGCGATGCAGTACAGTGGCTTAGTTTCAGTCTCGCTGAAGCGTCTATCCACTGTGCTTTTCATTGTCTTGATTCCCTGGTCAGTGCTGTGCTCTCGAGAAAGAACACGTTTAAGGACTGTTATGGCGGGGATCACGTCAGCTGCAGAGTCTCAGCGCTCACTACCCTCGTCAGTTCTTCAAAGGGAGCTAAAACCTCGATCGACTTCTTCATTAGTGCCCATTCGTTTACCGTCAGTGTAGCTGGAAGGTTGTGGTCAGCTGCATAGACACTGAGAGCCCGCTTTTCCTCCAGAAGGCTCGGCATCATGTAATGAGTGCTGTTCCATCTAACTTGCACATCTTCCTGTAGGCGCTTCGCTGGCATTTTCATATCAATCTGAATATCTTCCAAATGTGTGTCTGTGATGCAGCGCTGAGAAAGCAGACCCTCGTGAACAACCAGCTGAAGCGTATGTGCGATGCAGCCCACGCTTGAAACCCCCATATCATCCTTTGCTTTCTTCATATTTCTCGCCTTGTCCCACAAAATTACATGGACCCGTTGCTTATCGATTTCCCAAGCGTTCAGCATCTCCTCAATTGCTTGTTTTACATGCTCTGCTGTATGAGACCCGCAAAACTGTTGAGCATGCAACACTGTACGCTTTACATCAAAAGTCGTGTCAATCCAGTGTGCTGTGAGGCTAAGTAATGACATCAGGGAAACATCAGAGCTCCAAATGTCTGTCGTAAAGCTATCTGATAGAAGACCTCGTACGTGGTCACAAACCTTGTTGTAAAGCTCCGGTATGGCCGTGTCTGAAATGTAGTTTCGAGAAGGTAGGGCGTAGCGTGGCTCCAAAAGCTCCAAAAGACGGCGAAAACCTGTGTTTTCTACCACAGCGATAGGCTGGTCATCCAAAGCGATGAACTCGATTACTCTCTCAGTAATCTTTTTGGCAACGCCGCTGTCTCAAGAAAACGTCTCTGTTCTTTTAAAAGTTTGCTCTAGTGTGTGTTGCTTTGGTGCAGCCTTTGTCTGAGTAACCTGAGTAAATATACTCACTGTATTCCGCTGAGTGTTTACTTTTTAGGTGCCGTATCAGCTCTGTTACTACCGCCTCGTGAAATGCTCGCATTGCATACATTTCATGTGGCTGTTGGACTGGTTTCGTTCTCCACTTTAAAATATTTCCACACGGCAGACGTTTTGGCAGTGTCCTGGCCCAAACATGACACCCATGTGATCTCTGACATAAAACAAAGGATCGGTCATAGATTCATCCTCATTAAAGCCGATCAGGTAAAAATGCCTTGATCTGCCCTGATACCGATCTTTGAGATCGGATCGGGACATCCCTACATACAAGCTAGTATGTGTGAAACAGCAGCTCCCGAGGTTTTGAATCTGAAATCAAACCGTTCCAGCAGAGACACAGTAAATATGCCCAAACCCTGACAGTGTGGTGTTTTAGCCATTTCCAAAGCCAAAATCAAGTAAAAACAACACCAGCTTTGAATTCGTCTGGGAGTTAAACCTCACCCTCCGCTGAGAACACGTTAACCAATGATTCATTAAAAGTTGTTGGTCATTGTTAATTTCAGTGTAGTTTGCACCATCTTGGTATGAGGTTTAGTTTATATTTTTTCAATGTATTATTTATTTTTTTGAAATGTTGCATGTCACTAGCTGGGCTTCCTTTCAAACGTCCCCAAGAGTTTATGCATTTAGAAAATTTCAGCAGAAAAAAAATGTGATTTAAGTCGTGTTTCTATCTGCTATGGTTACGGGAAGAAACTTTAGATGACGTAGGCTACCGTGATTAGAGGCATCGACATAAGCAAGATGATTGTGTGTAGCTCAGATGCCGGGCAGGACAAGCAGTGGCCCCAAACGAGGGCTGAAATCTCTGTGCCCGACGACAACGTCCACCTCACATCTCGTAAACACACCAGACAGTTCTGAAGCTCACTGTGCAGAGACATATTTCAAACAAGCTTAGGTCAGCGTTTCAGAAAGTCAAAAACAACCTTCGAAAAGCTCTGTGCCGCCATCGGACCGTCTGTAGGCCAGTCGGTTTTTCGCAATATTTTGGTGTTTTTGACTCTCGAACTTTTCAATTTAGATTTTTTTGTATATTTTCAAAATTCACAAAAATTGTTGGATGAAAAACCTGCTACTTTACCGTTTGTGTTAACAGTCTGCGCCAGTGTGTT